GATCTACACTTTAAAAATATTTTTGACCATGCGGTGATGCCGCTTCTACTCTAAACTAGTGGCAACATCGCTATTTTAAATAGAACACCCTGAATGTGATTACATATTTAGATTCTACGTAAAATTCTGAGCAGATTTCATGTGATATACCCTATACCTCAGTTCAACTGTTTTGGAAATATTGACAGTTGAAAATTGACTTTTTGCAACTTTAACAGGCTGTAAAACCTGAACGGTTAATTTAAGAGGAAAACCGATTTAACATTCCTATCTTAGATTTTTATAAACTATCATTTGACATCAACTTTGAATTAAATCCATGATTAAAAATTCCAGTTGAATTTAATCTCCGGTTAAGTTCAAAGTTGGTGTCAAATGATAGTTTATGAAAATCTAAGATAGGAATATAAAAACGGTTTTCCTCTAAAATTAACCGTTTAGGTTTTACAGCTTGTCAAAGTTGCAAAAAGTCAATTTTCAACTGTCAATATTTCCAAAACAGTTGAACTTAGGTATAGGGTATATCACATAAAATCTGCTCAGAATTTAACTTAGAATCCAAACATGCAATCACATACAGGGTGTTCCATTTGAAATAGCGAAGTTGCCACTGGTTTAGAGTAGAAGCGGCAACACCGCATAAACAAAAATATGTTTAAAGTGTAGATTATGGTCGTTTATCCCGGTTGCCAAATTTTCAAAATGATCCGCTTTTCAGTTCTCCATTAACGTCTAATACACGATCCACCGTGAGACACCCTGAATATAGTATTTTTTTTACTACTAACCTGAGAAATAGACATTATTCAATCTATTTTTCTAAGAAAAAATTGAATTTCTCTCCCTAGGTTAATAATGAAAATAATGAAAAAATACCTAGGTCAATAATGAAAATGACGTCATCACGCAAGGATATTGTCATGTTTCTATTGGTTCTATTTCAATTTTATACGTCAATTTGAAAAAAAAATACAGGTTTCTGTACCTCAATGGAATGCTTGCGATTCAGGCTGTGCTAGTGTTAATTTTTTCGTCGATTTTAAATGTAGAAAAGGTGATTTCCGGTCTGTTCTCTCAGAAGAAATTAGGTGTTCTTGATCCTCGAGTATCCCAGAATTTGATGGTGGGGGAGTTAGGGGAGTATGACACAAATGACACATCATATAATCCAGCAAAAGATTATGCTTGGTTATCCTCGCAAAAAATTGCCTATTGTCTTCCAGACTCAGATAATTTATGGCACTTGTCGGTGGAGTACGGACAGTATCAGTGCAGTGCGGTACTACCATGATGTATTTCTTTTTGGTTAGATAAAAAGTTCCTGAATTTTTATAAATTTTTTTTTGGTTTAACTTCTTGATAAACTTGTTTTTTGATTAAATTTATTTCTATATTTGGTTGTTAAAAACTTCAAAAATATAAATAACTTTCGCACACTCACTTTACACCCCAACACCAAAAGAAAAATACCTAAAAAAAGCATGACAGGGCCCCAAAAAAAAATTTGGCGTCGGGCCCCAAAGATCCTAGGTCCGCCACTGGAAATCAGACAACATTTTTGGATAATAATACATCTCAGAGAGCTTCAGTCAAGAGTGTATTTTCAAACTGTCAGTGGTGTAAAATCAAGAAAATTAGACCAATTATACAGAAGATGGGACAGCTTCCTTAGTTTAGACTGACTCCGGACATTAAACCATTTACATACACCGACATAGATTATTTTGGTCCCTTATATGTTACTGTAGGTAGAAGAACAGAAAAGAGATGGGGAGTGTTGTTCACTTATCTCACAATTCGAGCCATACATTTAGAAGTAGCACATTCACTTACTACCGACGCAGCTATAATGGCAATCAAAAGAATGGTAAGTAGAAGAGGGTGTCCGAAAGAAATTTAATTTATACGGATAATGGTACCAATTTCCGAGGGGCATCAGAGGAATTAAAGAAGCTGCGCAAAGAAATAAACGACTCAAAGATGACGGAGAGTCTTCGAAGTCATGAAATCATTTAGAAGTTCGCCAGCATCGCCACATATGGGGAGCATGGGAAAGATTAGTTCGTTCAGTCAAAATTACTTTCAATACTTCAATAAAAAATCAAAAGTTAAAAGATGAACTTCTTTTAACACTATTTGCCGAAACTGATAACATCGTTAATTTCAGACCTTTGACCAAAGTCTCTTCGGATCCAGACGATTTTGAGGGGTTAACACCAAACCATTTTATTATAACATAACACAGTCGAACGTCGATTCATTCGCTTACAGATCATGTAGTAACGGTGATGTTAAAATTCATTGGAAGAGATATCAGCAACTGATAGATTCATTTAGGAAAACGTGTATTTACTAAAGAATATCTATCGACATTAACAAAACGATCAAAGGGGAATGATGATGGGCAACAGTTAAAACAAAACGATATAGTTGTGATTATTGAAGGCAATATACCAAGAAAACAATGGCGAATGGGCAAGATACAAGCTGTGTTTCCTGGTTCCGATGGCAAAGTTAGAGTAGCAGGCATAAAAACCAATGCAGGCATTTTTAGAAGCAGTGGCGGTCCATAGATGATTTTCTGGGGGGGGGGGGGGGTAATGGATGACGGGAAAATCATTAAGTGTCGAATGGCTCCCCGCCGGAGGCTAAATTTTTTTAAGGGTGCCACGCCCAAATTTGCACCTGAATGCCCGATGCCGGCAAAATAGTTATACAGGGTGTTCACTTAGTAGACGATATCTCCTTCCAGGATAATGCAAGAAAAAAAAATTAAATTACAAAGTTGTTTGATACTCTAAGATCCATTAGTAGTTTAAAATATTTTTGAATATACACAGGGTGTTCCGTAAATGAGGTATGTGACAGACCTTTGTTATTTTAAATGGAACACCTTACATTTTAGAACATTAATGGATTGTTATAACAATCCTATATACTTTTTCTTAGGAATTACCTATACTAATGGGTCAATTATGTGCCCATCTGTGAGCAAATCTATAAATTTCTATAAAAACTCGACCCTTTTTGAAATATTTGAAACTTTTTCAAAAAATCGGCGTTTGCACTAACCCAAAAAGTGGGACACTCGACTGACAGGTCTTGTAATTTTGCATAAATCAGTCTATTTTGCATAAATCAGTCTTTTCTCTACAATGGATTTTTTGTCAAATATGACAATTCCTGTCATTGCCTTAAGTATAGCTGGGTGAACCCGTTTTACAATAGGAAAAAACGGGTGTCCCACTTTCTGTGCTCACGACTGATAATTTATTGCATAATATTGATCATGAATTTATTTACTGTATAGAAATCAAGCCAATAATCGGAAATTTGAACCCATCACAACCTACGAACGCCTAGGCTGTGACGTCATACCGGCTTCGGAAGTACAGTTTTAACACGTGTAAGAATTTTTCAAAACAAATGTCCACGATCTCATTAGAGCGAATGGCAACCACTCAAAGTATAGGGCACGGTTCACTGAGGACTGAACGAACGGGAGGCTGGCATTTCGGAGTTTAGCCGGTGTGACGTTACAAGTTTGCGCATAATTTATCTTCATAAACAACATTCATATTTCATGTATTCGAATGCAGGAAAATTTCTACATTCAAGTACTTTTTGAAATATTTGAAACTTTTTCAAAAAATCGCAGTTTGCATGTGTTAATGCATGTATCAACAAAAACCAACACATTTCATTCATTTGAGATCCTTAAGCTAAATTTTTTGCAGGCTGTTAGTGTATACTTACATTTACTTCATGGTCCTATGAAAATCTGATAAAATTCTATAGGGTGTTCGCAATACTGTAACTGTACAGGGTGTTTGTTTATAACTGGAACACTCAATAACTTTTTTATTATTAAGAATAGAGGGCATGTTTAAATTGGAAAATTTCTTGATAAATTGCAATGATCTTAATCGCTACAATGAGATTTTTTCTCGCCATAGGTATACTAGGTGCGCCAAAAAAGTCATTTTTTCAAATGGAACGCCCTGTATATTTTTGCATTTTTGAAATTCTTAGAAAGTTAGCTTCACAAACATATCATATATTATTTGGATAACAAAAATATACAGGGCATTCCATTTAAAAATAATACCTTTTTGGCGCACCCTGTAAACCTATGACGACAAAAAAATATCGTTGTAGCGCTTAAGGTTACAATTTACCAAGAACTTTCCCATCTTAAACATGCCCTTTATTTTCAATCATATAAGAAAGTTACTAAGTGTTCCAGTTTTAAACAAACACCTAGTACACAAAACCAGATATTTCAAACAACCATAGCTTTTTTTTCAAATGAAATACCTTTTATTTCACTGTATAGTAGTAGGTACGTCGATACTGGTGAGCCTATCAATTTATACAATGCCTTCTATGCTTTACTTTATAGAACTTATCTTTTGTTGAAATTTTATTCTTAAGTGTTTAAAAAAAATCTTTGTCTGGGGGGGGGGGGTAATTACCCCCTCTACCCCCCCCCCTTTAAACCGCCCTTGTTTAGAAGATCTGTTAGCCGACTATGTAAAATTGAAACTGAATAAAATATGAAGAAAAGAATTCCTTCAAAAGGGGGGAGAATTTTGAACACAGCCTTAATTTCTGGTTCAACCTTTTGTTTTTGTCACACAAAACCATAATATGTCTAAAATCGAAATCTTCCTTCCATTTTATATTTTGTAATTATAATTCACTGTAAGATCTTTGTAAGTATTCTACGATGTGATCCTTTGAAACGACATAGTCTTCACTAGATAGCGACTGCTTGATAGCAATCAATATTTTTTTGAGTTTGAGTTGCTTACCTATCTTCTCTATGAAAGTTATACCTCTACAAACCAAGTTCATTGTTCTGGAAAAGCTCTCATTTATCGAAGTTTCTTTTGCTAGTATCGCATCATAATTATTCAAAAAGACCTAAGCAGAAAGCTCCTTTAACTTTATTCTCAAACTGTTTTGGTTAGCAGTTAGCATTAATAGTGTGTCATATCAAAAAGATTGTTTAAGATTTTCTATCTAGATTCATGTCAAGTAGACAGATTCCCATTGAAGATGTTCAATGATTATTTCGGCAGGAACATCGTCTGGCAAAACCCAAGAAACCTTATTAAGGTTCTTTTATTTCAAGGTTAGACTCTAAAATCTTCTGCATGTCTCCAAGTATCAGTTCCTGGTTTTAGATTTACCTTTTTACTCACAGTAACGACACAGGTACCTAATTATTTATTAAATTTAAAAAAAAAACAACATGATGTATTTGTTCCTTACTAGTTAAACTGAAACTAACCAAAAAAAAACACTAAAATTGCATAAGCATTAGTCAAAATATTTGCTACAATAAAAAATGTATAACATTTCCATTTGCTGTATCTTTATTGAAACAAATATATTGTATAGGTACCTACTGAATGTGTTAGCTTTTCAAAATAAGTGCATTGGATACGCAGACTACAACTATAGTTAATACTAACACATTTATAATGTATATCCTTAAAAAATAGACAAGTATGCCTATATTTTATAATACTAGGGCAATACTTTTATACTAACATAATATTTTGTTCTATTTAGCATTAGTGTATAATTTTTTTTTTGTAAGCCCGTTTAAAGCCAACGATTTTCCTTGCATCAAAAATCATCCATTTATTCTTTACTGGTTATCACGATCTTATTCTTTGCTTTTAGTTTATTTTTGACTTATTTATTTGGGCTTTACTGACTGGAAAAGTCAGTTATATCTGCGTAGTCTAAAATTAAAATTTATGAAAAAAATAAAACGTGATTTTCATCCACCCAGATTCAAGGACCAAAAGTATCTTTTCAAAGTCAATATAATGCTGTTGGTAGGAAATTTGACTTTTTTTAACTAACAATGTCGATGACATAACTAAATCTAAATTAATACAACATTACTACATAAACTATAATAAAAATGTGGAAAATATATTTAAACCTATCTGTAGTCGGAAAGTTCTTCTGATGCCGCTCTGGACTAAGAACCATTTCTAAACATCTAACTGGAACGATGTCCATTTTCATCGGACACGGCATGGGTTCGGTCATCTCTGGACCTGGAACGATCTCTGGAACCAGAACGTGAGGACCGTGATCTGCCGCCCCCAGATCTAGACGTGGAGTAACTACTAGAGCTCGACTCTTCTCCACGTGTACTTTTTTTTTCGTACACTTTAATACGCCGTCCAAAAAGCATGCTGCCGTTCAGCTGTTCAATGGCGTTTTGCATGTCCTTTCGGCTTGCAAAATGAACCAATGCTTCGTTTTTTTTTCTGAGATGGGCATCTGCATAGGTAACATCTCCAGCTTGACGCATGTAATCTTTCAGGTCTTGCCAGGATGCTCTCCGGGATACATTTTCGACAATCACTTTGTGATCTGTGCGGATAGGATGCGCGAAACGAGATCTCCTACGTGTTCTTTCTCTGTCCGAACCACTGCTACTAGTTTCGGATTCACCCCATGTATGTCTACCTCGATGTCGGGCCCTTTCAACTCTTATTCTTTCACCCATTATCTTTTCTCTATTCAAATTATAAATCGCATATTCGGCATCGCGGCAGTCATCAAATACGACAAATCCATACCCGCCTTGCTTGAGGCTTATTTCACGTATGCGTCCATGATTTCTGAAAAAACGCTCCAAATCTCTTTTGCTTGTACCACGGGGCAAATCACCTACGTATACTCTGGTTCCAGACATTTTGAAAGTTGAGTCGATTTAATGTTTGGTATCCAGGTATGCTTGCAAGATATCTCCAGTATAAACTGTATGTCCGTCAAAGTTATCTGTCCTGTTGCCGATGGCCTTCTGACCTGCAATTAAATAAAAAATATACTTTTGTAAAAATGTATAGGAACTAATATGCTAAGTTGGTATATGGACAACCAAATGTAATTAGGTATTAAGTTATAGTCAAGATAAAAAATAATCAAAGATATAAAACCTACATGATTTCCTCTAGACGATTACAAATACAGGGTGTCCCAGCCGAGAGTGACCCATTTCAAATGCTTATAACTTTCGAACCGGGTGTGCTAGCTACCTACGGTTTGTGCCATTCGATTTCTCTTGGCCTAAAGTTTTTTTAGGTAGGCTGCACTTTTTTTTGAAACTTATACAGGGCGAGAAAAAAAAATCCGTTTTTCAACATCGAAATTCTTCACTATTTCTAATGGAACACCCTGTATAGCTGTATATCACAACGCCAAAAAAAGATTCATTGTTCAAGGTATCCATATACCTATAGACATCGTCCCTGAAACTTGAAGTTTTAGCCATAAAAAATCAAAATTGAAATCTTGGTATTTTTGCAAATGCATGCAATGCTAAGATATCAATATCAATTAAGTTAAAATACATTTTCCAATAAAATTTAATGAGGGGGCACCATCCTGCTGCAGGATGGTGCCCCCACCTCATTATTCTTTAATAGGAAGGGAATCCCTAGATATGACATTTGGGGAACGATGGACAAGGAGAGCTGGTCCTATAGAATGGACACCTTATTCTCCTGACTTGAGAGTTCTAGACTTTTATCTCTGGGGTTATTTTAAGGAAAGATGCGGTAATACTTTACTCAAATAACCTGGAAGATCTTGAGTGGACCATTTGTAATGTCACTGAAGCGATTCTTCAGGAAATGTTACACAATTCATTCAACCATTTACTGATCCATAAATGCCTGGAACAGAATGCCTAACATAAACATATACGGAATTTTGTATAGTTTATGCAGTTTGAGCGTTGTGATAATATCACGTCGTAAAAAAAAAGATTCATGCTCAAGGTATACATGTACGAAAACCAGAATCGAAATCGTGGTATTTTTGCAAACGTATATTTTCAAAACTTGGAACTTATGTTTGCCTAATAAAAAGTTAATAAAAACTGCATGAAACTATACAAAGTGCTGTATATGTTTATGTTAGCCATTCTGTTCCAGGCATTTATAGATCAGTAAATGGTTGAATGCATGGGGATATTTAGTGTTTCTTTTTTATTTTATTTTCTAATTCTAGAACACAAACTAAGTCTAATAGCACTATTTTGGGGAACATTTGAGTTATCGTTAATTTTTAATAAAAAATATAAATTCAGCAGCATTTCAAACGCCGCAGAAAACCCGCCGAATATGACGTCAGTCCCTACAACTAGCAAAAATATACTGCAAATAAGTACGTTGTCAGATTGTCGTTGCCATTGTTGATTTCCAAGATTGCCTCTAGAAACCTCGTTTTTATCCTTGCATAACATAGTTTTTTGTAGTATATTTTGGACTACAGTTATAAAATTAATGCAGTTTTTTAATTGTTAGTGGGTTTAGTTGTAGAACAACAGTTTTTCTAGTGTTGAAAAAGGATTTATGCCACGTCATGTTAGTATTAAGGAATCACGACACTCAGTTTGGCAACGTTGCACCGTCTAACTGTCAAGAGGTTATGTTGACCAGCGTTAAACGAACAAGATGCAAATAACGAATGAAGGAATTTCATCATTGTCACTCTTCAGAGCTTAGACAAGGAAAGCATATAAGATGTGCGCCAGAGTTATTGTGAACGATTCTTATTGGTCGGAAAGTGTATATACGTCATACAATGGCGCCATTCCAGCACGTTTAAATATGTGGGATGAAAACAGCATTCTTGAAAATTATTTTAAACAAAATTAGGACATTTTAAACCCAACTGGAAGCAAGGGTATTTTTATTTTGGTTAATACAATTGATTAAAAATAATAAAGCAATGAAATTCAAATATGGTGAATGTCCCCATTGTGTAACATTTCCTGGAGAATCGCTTCAATGACATTACAAATGTTCCGCTCAAGATCTTCCAGGTCATTTAAGCAAAGTATTACCGCATCTTTCCTTAACATAACCCGAGAGATAAAAGTGTAGAACTCTCAAGTCAGGAGAGTAAGGTGTCCATTCTATAGGATCAGCTCTCCTTGTCCGTCTTTCCCCAAGTGTCATATCTAGTGATTCCCTTGCTATAAAAGAAGAATGAGGTGGGGGGGGGGGGGGGCACCATCCTGCTGAAAATAGATATCATCCAAGATACCCTCCTGTCTTAACTGTGGGAAAAATATCAGTGTATACAGTTTCTCTTATCGTTGGTTCATTAATAAAAATGGTCTGTTTTTTTTCTCAATAAAGATTGCACACCAAACCGTTACTGTTGGGGTATCTCTGTTCAACAAGTTCCAGAGAAAATACTCTCGAACTCGTTAAATTTTCTTGGAAAATGTATTATAACTTAATTGATATCTATGTTGTATTATAGTGATATCAAGCATTGCATACATTTGCAAACATACCAAGATTTAGACTTTGATTTTTCACGGCTAAAACTTTAATTTTCAGGGACTATGTTTATGATGGATACCTTGAACATGAAGTTTTTTTTTGACGTTGTGATATACAGGGTGTTCTATTAGAAATTGTGGAGAATTTCGATGTTAAAAACGGATTTTTTTTACTCGCACTGTATAAGTTTCAAAAAAATTTGCAACCTACTAAAAAAAACTTTAGGCCAAGAGAAATCGAATGGCATAAACCGCAGGTAGCTAGCACACCTGGTTCAAAAGTTATGGGCATTCAAAATGGGTCACTCTCGGCTGGGACACCCTGTATAATAATATAGCACACATACATGCATAAGACAATAATGCGCAAAGAACAAACAAACATAATAACAAAAACACTCTAGAACAGTCAAAGAAGAAACACCTCGTATTTTAGAAGGTATGTACAGGGTGTCCGAATTTGGATGGTTTTAATAGGAAACGTCAATTTCTGAACAAGTTACAAAAAAATGAACCCACCACTCCGAGGCTCAAATTTCTTGAAATTTTGATTAGTGCAAACCGCATTTTGATACCTTCAACCGTTTAGCCGCTAGAGGGCGATTCTCGATTTTGAGCAATACTGTGAAATCTTCAGAACTTTTTTGTTTATGAAAATAACTGACTTCCGTAAAAACTTCCTAGAAGCACTTTTTTGAGCAGAATTCAGTGACGTTTTCAGTTTTTTTTCTATTGGGCCTTGGTTTCAAAATATTGACCAAAATCCGATTTTTTTCAATGGGACACCCTATATATTAATAGCTCTTTAGAAAGCTCTGCTTTTGCTGATTTCAATGATACAAATTTCGATGGGTTTATCTCTAACAGTTTTCCAGAAAAAAGACTATTTTGGTTTTTGTCATAAGAAACAATGAGTTAGAAAGAGACCTTGCTCATTTGCCTTACAAATATAGAGACCTTTTTTAACACATTGTTTCTTATAGAAAAAAACGAAATTATTTTTTTTTCGAAAACTGTTAGAGATAAACCTATCGAAATATATATCATTGAAATCAGTAAAAGCAGAGCTTTTAAGAGAGCTATTAATATATAGGGTGTCCCATTGAAAAAAATCGGATTTTGGTCAATATCTTGAAATCGAGGCCCAATAGAAAAAAAACTGAAAACGTCACTGAATTCTGCTTGAAAAAGTGCTTCTAGGAAGTTTTTACGGAAATCAGTTATTCTTATAAACAAAAAAGCTCGCAAAAAAGTTATGAAGATTTCACAGTATTGCTCAAAATCGAGAATTGCCCTCTAGCGTCTAAACGGTTGAAAATATCAAAATGTAGTTTGCACTAATCAAAATTTCAAGAAATTTGAGCCTCGGAGTGGGGGGTTCATTTTTTTGTGTCTGGCTCAGAAATTGACGTTTCCTATTGAAACCATCCAAATTCGGACACCCTGTACAGGGTGGGCATTTTATTAGGGGCCTATGTCTTTTCTCAGAAACTACAGGGTGTACAAAAAAATATAAATACAAAATTTTCTTGATTTTAAGCAATGTCGTCAATTATTTAAGTTTTATTTATACAGGGTGTCCCAAAAGTGCTGCACCGACTTCAAAACCAGAATTTTTAATAGGACACCTTGTATATTATATATATGGGATTATTTAATAAAATTTCAATTACACCTTAAGGAGACTACCTCCCAACAATCTACGATGGCTAGGTGCTTTAAATTTATACAGGGAGTCTCAAATCATAGGACATTTTTTTCAATTTTCAATATCCAAGTTTTTTTCAATGGAACACCCTATATTTGATATTTTTTTGTTAAAAAGGCTAAAAATACCTATCCATTCATATATATATATATATATATGTCCTATACCTAAATCTAATAGTTCACGAAATATTTAGACCACTTCTTCATCGATATATTTCAATATATAATTTCAAAGAATAATCTTAAAAAAAATACATCAACACCTAAATTAAAGCTAGTAACAGAGAATTCGTTTCATTTAAGTGCGCTACAGCTTCTGTGATACGTCTTTGCACATCGTTTACCGTAGTAGGCCTTTCTTTGTATACAATTTCCTTTAATGTTCCCCATAAGAAAAAATCTAGTGGGGTGAGATCTGGACTTCGAGCTGGCCACGAGATCGTTCCATTTTCCCCTATGCAACGGACGTAATGTAGGTTTAAATAGTCTCTTACATTGTTCCCCTTGTGGTACGGAGCTCCATCTTGTCGTTTAGGTATAGGACATATATATACGAGTATATATATATATATATATGAATGGATAGGTATTTTTAGCCTTTTTAACAAAAAAATATCAAATATAGGGTATTCCATAAAAAAAACTTAGATATTGCAAATTAAAAATTTTAAAAAATGTCCTATGATCTGAGACACCCTGTATAAATTTAAAGCGCCTAGCCATCGTAGATCGTTGGGAGGTAGTCTTCTTAAGATGTGGTTAAAATTTTATTTAATAATCTTAACTACCAGCCGCACAA